ACTAGGTGGTGGACTAGGTGATGGTGGACTATGAAGGTGGACTCCTCACGCTCGCGAACAGATCGTGATCCACGTGTGGTGGTGTAGGTGGTGTAGGTGGTGTAGGTGGTGGTGGACTAGGATGTGGACTAGGTGATGGTGGACTATGAAGGTGGACTATAAGGGTGGACTCCTCACGCTCGCGAACAGATCGTGATCCACGTGTGGTGGTGTAGGTGGTGTAGGTGGTGTAGGTGGTGGTGGACTAGGATGTGGACTAGGTGATGGTGGACTATGAAGGTGGACTATAAGGGTGGACTCCTCACGCTCGCGAACAGATCGTGATCCACATGTGGTGGTGTAGGAGGTGGTGTAGGTGGTGTAGGTGGTAGACTAGGTGATGGTGGACTAGGTGATGGTGGACTAGGTGGTGGACTATGAAGGTGGACTCCTCACGCTCGCGAACAGATCGTGATCCACGTGTGGTGGTGTAGGTGGTGTAGGTGGTGTAGGTGGTAGACTAGGTGGTGGTGTAGGTGGTGGTGTAGGTGGTGGTGTAGGTGGTGTAGGAGGTGGTGTAGGTGGTGTAGGTGGTGGACTATGAAGGTGGACTATGAAGGTGGACTATAAAGGTGGACTCCTCACGCTCGCGAACAGATCGTGATCCACGTGTGGTGGTGTAGGTGGTGTAGGTGGTAGACTAGGTGGTGGTGTAGGTGGTGGTGTAGGTGGTGGTGTAGGTGGTGTAGGAGGTGGTGTAGGTGGTGTAGGTGGTGGACTATGAAGGTGGACTATGAAGGTGGACTATAAAGGTGGACTCCTCACGCTCGCGAACAGATCGTGATCCACGTGTGGTGGTGTAGGTGGTGTAGGTGGTGTAGGTGGTAGACTAGGTGGTGGTGTAGGTGGTGGTGTAGGTGGTGGTGTAGGTGGTGTAGGAGGTGGTGTAGGTGGTGTAGGTGGTGGACTATGAAGGTGGACTATGAAGGTGGACTATAAAGGTGGACTCCTCACGCTCGCGAACAGATCGTGATCCACGTGTGGTGGTGTAGGTGGTGTAGGTGGTGTAGGTGGTAGACTAGGTGGTGGTGTAGGTGGTGGTGTAGGTGGTGGTGTAGGTGGTGTAGGAGGTGGTGTAGGTGGTGTAGGTGGTGGACTATGAAGGTGGACTATGAAGGTGGACTATAAGGGTGGACTCCTCACGCTCGCGAACAGATCGTGATCCACGTGTGGTGGTGTAGGTGGTGTAGGTGGTGTAGGTGGTAGACTAGGTGGTGGTGTAGGTGGTGGTGTAGGTGGTGGTGTAGGTGGTGTAGGAGGTGGTGTAGGTGGTGTAGGTGGTGGACTATGAAGGTGGACTAGGTGATGGTGGACTATGATGGTGGACTCCTCACGCTCGCGAACAGTTCGTGATCCACGTGTGGTGGTGTAGGTGGTGGTGTAGGTGGTGTAGGTGGTAGACTAGGTGGTGGTGGACTAGGTGATGGTGGACTATAAAGGTGGACTCCTCACGCTCGCGAACAGATCGTGATCCACGTGTGGTGGTGTAGGTGGTGGTGTAGGTGGTGTAGGTGGTAGACTAGGTGGTGGTGGACTAGGTGATGGTGGACTATAAAGGTGGACTCCTCACGCTCGCGAACAGATCGTGATCCACGTGTGGTGGTGTAGGTGGTGTAGGTGGTGGACTATGAAGGTGGACTATGAAGGTGGACTATAAGGGTGGACTCCTCACGCTCGCGAACAGATCGTGATCCACGTGTGGTGGTGTAGGTGGTGTAGGTGGTGGTGTAGGTGGTGGACTATGAAGGTGGACTATGAAGGTGGACTATAAAGGTGGACTCCTCACGCTCGCGAACAGATCGTGATCCACGTGTGGTGGTGTAGGTGGTGGTGGTGTAGGTGGTGTAGGTGGTGGTGTAGGTGGTGTAGGTGGTGGACTATGAAGGTGTACTAGGTGAAGGTGGACTATGATGGTGGACTCCTCACGCTCGCGAACAGATCGTGATCCACGTGTGGTGGTGTAGGTGGTGGACTATGAAGGTGGACTCCTCACGCTCGCGAACAGATCGTGATCCACGTGTGGTGGTGTAGGTGGTGGTGTAGGTGGTGTAGGTGGTAGACTAGGTGATGGTGGACTAGGTGATGGTGGACTATGAAGGTGGACTATAAGGGTGGACTCCTCACGCTCGCGAACAGATCGTGATCCACGTGTGGTGGTGGTGTAGGTGGTGGTGTAGGTGGTGGTGGACTAGGTGGTGGTGGACTAGGTGATGGTGGACTAGGTGGTGGACTATAAGGGTGGACTCCTCACGCTCGCGAACAGATCGTGATCCACGTGTGGTGGTGTAGGTGGTGTAGGTGGTGTAGGTGGTGGTGGACTAGGATGTGGACTAGGTGATGGTGGACTAGGTGGTGGACTATAAAGGTGGACTCCTCACGCTCGCGAACAGATCGTGATCCACGTGTGGTGGTGTAGGTGGTGTAGGTGGTGTAGGTGGTGGTGGACTAGGATGTGGACTAGGTGATGGTGGACTAGGTGGTGGACTATAAAGGTGGACTCCTCACGCTCGCGAACAGATCGTGATCCACGTGTGGTGGTGTAGGTGGTGTAGGTGGTGTAGGTGGTAGACTAGGTGGTGGTGGACTAGGTGGTGGACTATAAAGGTGGACTCCTCACGCTCGCGAACAGATCGTGATCCACGTGTGGTGGTGTAGGTGGTGTAGGTGGTGGACTATGAAGGTGGACTATGAAGGTGGACTATAAAGGTGGACTCCTCACGCTCGCGAACAGATCGTGATCCACGTGTGGTGGTGTAGGTGGTGTAGGTGGTGGTGTAGGTGGTGGACTATGAAGGTGGACTATGAAGGTGGACTATAAGGGTGGACTCCTCACGCTCGCGAACAGATCGTGATCCACGTGTGGTGGTGTAGGTGGTGGTGGTGTAGGTGGTGTAGGTGGTGGTGTAGGTGGTGTAGGTGGTGGACTATGAAGGTGTACTAGGTGAAGGTGGACTATGATGGTGGACTCCTCACGCTCGCGAACAGATCGTGATCCACGTGTGGTGGTGTAGGTGGTGGACTATGAAGGTGGACTCCTCACGCTCGCGAACAGATCGTGATCCACGTGTGGTGGTGTAGGTGGTGGTGTAGGTGGTGTAGGTGGTAGACTAGGTGATGGTGGACTAGGTGATGGTGGACTATGAAGGTGGACTATAAAGGTGGACTCCTCACGCTCGCGAACAGATCGTGATCCACGTGTGGTGGTGGTGTAGGTGGTGGTGTAGGTGGTGTAGGTGGTAGACTAGGTGGTGGTGGACTAGGTGATGGTGGACTAGGTGGTGGACTATAAGGGTGGACTCCTCACGCTCGCGAACAGATCGTGATCCACGTGTGGTGGTGTAGGTGGTGTAGGTGGTGTAGGTGGTGGTGGACTAGGATGTGGACTAGGTGATGGTGGACTAGGTGGTGGACTATAAAGGTGGACTCCTCACGCTCGCGAACAGATCGTGATCCACGTGTGGTGGTGTAGGTGGTGTAGGTGGTGTAGGTGGTGGTGGACTAGGATGTGGACTAGGTGATGGTGGACTAGGTGGTGGACTATAAAGGTGGACTCCTCACGCTCGCGAACAGATCGTGATCCACGTGTGGTGGTGTAGGTGGTGTAGGTGGTGTAGGTGGTAGACTAGGTGGTGGTGGACTAGGTGGTGGACTATAAAGGTGGACTCCTCACGCTCGCGAACAGATCGTGATCCACGTGTGGTGGTGTAGGTGGTGTAGGTGGTGTAGGTGGTAGACTAGGTGGTGGTGGACTAGGTGGTGGACTATAAAGGTGGACTCCTCACGCTCGCGAACAGATCGTGATCCACGTGTGGTGGTGTAGGTGGTGGTGTAGGTGGTGTAGGTGGTAGACTAGGTGATGGTGGACTAGGTGATGGTGGACTATAAAGGTGGACTATAAAGGTGGACTCCTCACGCTCGCGAACAGATCGTGATCCACGTGTGGTGGTGTAGGTGGTGGTGTAGGTGGTGTAGGTGGTAGACTAGGTGATGGTGGACTAGGTGATGGTGGACTATAAAGGTGGACTATAAAGGTGGACTCCTCACGCTCGCGAACAGATCGTGATCCACGTGTGGTGGTGTAGGTGGTGGTGTAGGTGGTGTAGGTGGTAGACTAGGTGATGGTGGACTAGGTGATGGTGGACTATAAAGGTGGACTATAAAGGTGGACTCCTCACGCTCGCGAACAGATCGTGATCCACGTGTGGTGGTGTAGGTGGTGGTGTAGGTGGTGTAGGTGGTAGACTAGGTGATGGTGGACTAGGTGATGGTGGACTATAAAGGTGGACTATAAAGGTGGACTCCTCACGCTCGCGAACAGATCGTGATCCACGTGTGGTGGTGTAGGTGGTGGTGTAGGTGGTGTAGGTGGTAGACTAGGTGATGGTGGACTAGGTGATGGTGGACTATAAAGGTGGACTATAAAGGTGGACTCCTCACGCTCGCGAACAGATCGTGATCCACGTGTGGTGGTGTAGGTGGTGGTGTAGGTGGTGTAGGTGGTAGACTAGGTGATGGTGGACTAGGTGATGGTGGACTATAAAGGTGGACTATAAAGGTGGACTCCTCACGCTCGCGAACAGATCGTGATCCACGTGTGGTGGTGTAGGTGGTGGTGTAGGTGGTGTAGGTGGTAGACTAGGTGATGGTGGACTAGGTGATGGTGGACTATAAAGGTGGACTATAAAGGTGGACTCCTCACGCTCGCGAACAGATCGTGATCCACGTGTGGTGGTGTAGGTGGTGGTGTAGGTGGTGTAGGTGGTAGACTAGGTGATGGTGGACTAGGTGATGGTGGACTATAAAGGTGGACTATAAAGGTGGACTCCTCACGCTCGCGAACAGATCGTGATCCACGTGTGGTGGTGTAGGTGGTGGTGTAGGTGGTGTAGGTGGTAGACTAGGTGATGGTGGACTAGGTGATGGTGGACTATAAAGGTGGACTATAAAGGTGGACTCCTCACGCTCGCGAACAGATCGTGATCCACGTGTGCTCCGTCTCCCACGCGCCGGTATCGCCGGGAGCGGCCGCGTCGCCCGCGGGCGACCGGCTGGGTGGTGGACGACGGGAAGGTGGACGACGAGGAGGTGATGGTGGCCTGCACGCAGCAGCAGCAGCAGCATCAGCAGCAGCATCATCATCAGCATCATCAGCAGCAGCATCATCATCAGCAGCAGCATCATCATCATCAGTAGCATCATCATCAGCAGCAGCATCATCAGCAGCAGCATCATCAGCAGCAGCATCATCAGCAGCAGCATCAGCAGCAGCAGCATCATCATCAGCAGTAGCATCATCAGCAGCATCATCAGCAGCAGTAGCATCATCAGTAGCATCATCATCAGCAGTAGCATCATCATCATCATCAGTAGCATCATCATCATCAACATCATCATCATCATCAGCAGCATCATCATCATCAGTAGCATCATCAACATCATCATCATCATCAGCAGCAGCATCATCATCAGCAGCATCAGCATCATCATCAGTAGCATCATCATCATCATCAGTAGCATCATCATCATCAACATCATCATCATCAGCAGCAGCATCATCATCAGTAGCATCATCATCATCATCAGTAGCATCATCATCATCAGCACCATCATCATCATCAGCAGCAGCATCATCATCAGCAGCATCATCATCATCAGTAGCATCATCAGCAGCAGCAGCAGCAGCATCATCAGCAGTAGCACCATCAGCATCATCATGAGCAGCATCAGCAGTAGCATCATCAGCATCAGTAGTAGTAGCATCAGCATCATCATCAGTAGCATCATCATCAGCAGCATCTGCAGCATCATCAGCAGCAGCATCAACAGCAGCATCAGCAGCATCAGCAGCATCATCAGCAGTAGCATCATCAGCATCATCATGAGCAGCATCAGCAGTAGCATCATCACTATCATCATCATCAGTAGCATCATCATCATCAGTAGCATCATCATTATCAGTAGCATCATCAGCATCAGTAGTAGTAGCATCAGCATCATCATCAGTAGCATCATCATCAGTAGCATCATCAGTAGCATCATCATCATCAGTAGCATCATTATCAGTAGTATCATCATCATCAGTAGTATCATCATCATCAGTAGTATCATCATCATCATCAGCAGCATCATCATCAGCATCATCATCACCAGCATCACCAGCATCATCATTATCATCATCAGCATCATCAGTAGCATCATCATCAGCATCATCGTCAGTATCATCATCATCAGTAGTATCATCATCATCAGTAGTATCATCATCATCATCATCAGCAGCATTATCATCAGCATCATCATCACCAGCATCACCAGCATCATCATTATCATCATCAGCATCATCAGTAGCATCATCATCAGCATCATCGTCAGTATCATCATCATCAGTAGCATCATCATGATCACATTCATCAGTAGAACATCACCACCATCACCACAAATACAACCATCACCACCATCACCACCATCACCACCATCATCATCACCATCACCACCACCATCATCACCACCATCACCATCACCACCACCACCATCACCATCATCACCATCACCACCACCATCACCATCACCACCATCACCACCACCACCACCATCACCACCACCACCATCACCACCACCATCACCACCACCACCATCACCACCATCACCACCACCACCATCACCACCATCATCACCATCATCACCACCATCACCACCACCATCAACACCACCACCACCACCATCACCACCACCACCATCACCACCACCACCATCACCACCATCACCACCATCACCAGCATCACCACCATCATCACTACCATCACCATCACCACCATCACCACCATCACCACCACCATCACCACCACCATCACCACCACCATCACCACCATCACAACCACCACCATCACCATCACCACCACCATCACCACCAACATCATCACCATCACCACCACCATCACCATCACCACCATCACCACCATCACCATCACCACCACCATCACCACCACCACCATCACCACCACCACCATCACCACCTCCACCATCACCACCACCACCATCACCATCACCACCATCACCATCACCACTACCACCATCACCACCACCACCATCACCACCACCACCATCACCACCATCACCATCACCACCACCATCACCACCACCACCACCATCACCACCACCATCACCATCACCACCACCATCACCACCACCACCACCATCACCACCACCATCACCACCACCACCACCATCACCACCACCATCACCATCACCACCACCATCACCACCACCACCACCATCACCACCACCACCATCACCACCATCACCACCACCACCATCACCACCATCACCAGCATCACCACCATCATCACTACCATCACCATCACCACCATCACCACCATCACCACCACCATCACCACCACCATCACCACCATCACCACCACCATCACCACCATCACAACCACCACCATCACCATCACCACCACCATCACCACCAACATCATCACCATCACCACCACCATCACCATCACCACCACCATCACCACCACCACCATCACCACCACCACCATCACCACCTCCACCATCACCATCACCACCACCACCATCACCACCATCACCATCACCACCACCACCATCACCACCACCACCATCACCACCACCATCACCATCACCACCATCACCACCATCACCACCACCATCACCACCACCACCATCACCACCATCACCACCACCATCACCACCACCACCACCACCATCACCACCACCATCACCATCACCACCACCATCACCACCACCACCATCACCACCACCATCACCACCACCATCACCACCACCATCATCACCATCACCACCACCATCACCACCATCACCACCATCACCACCACCACCATCACCACCACCATCACCACCACCACCATCACCACCATCACCACCATCACCACAATCACCACAATCACTAAATAATAACTCACCATGTCTTATGAAGATATCGGCCTGATTAACTATTAACTGTGACTATTATTATTACTACGACTACTACTACAACTCTAATCGACTAGTGTTACTATTGAAACCGCTCTCTCTCTTTCAACGGCTAGAAGATTTTAAAAACAATTTGTTTTAAACGTTTTTTTTTATTTTGTTTATATTATTTGTTTCAATCTCGACCCGAGCTATCGTCGCAAGATTAACAAAACAATTTTTTTTTTTTAAACTTTTATCGAGTTATTTTTTTGGGGTTTTTTTTTTTACATAAAATAGAAATCTCTATCGAGCTATGGTAGCGGAGATGAACACTAACAATTTTTTTCACGATAATAATATTGATCTTTTTTTTTCGTTCATGAAATAAATAAAATAAAAATCTCTCTCAACCCAGAGCTTTATTTTAAACAAAACAAATGTTTTACTACGTTAATTTCTTATTTTGTTTATCAAATAAAATATTTAAAAAATCTCTCCCCGAGCTGCCGAAGCGAGATGAACGAAAGTATCTTTAAAAAAAAAGGTTTATTTCTTATTTAGTTAATAAAATACATTTTTTTTTTAAATCTCTCTCTCCGCGAGTTGAACACAAAAATCCGTTTCTTGTCGACTCAGGAAGAAGTGGGAGGGGCTATCGTGTTTACACGTCTCCATGGCAACGGTCGTCGAGGTCGGGGCGTGTTGACACGTCTCCCGTGGCAACGGTCGTCGAGGGGAGGGGCGTGGTGACGGAGTTGGGGGCGGGGCGGAGCGCTGCGGGTGAGGAGGGGGAGGAGCTACTTTCGCCACCCCTTGGCAACCGCGTTGCTAGCCACGTGGGTGGGGAGATCGTAATCGGAAATGTAGCTGCAGAGAAGTTGAGAGCGCTCCGTGGGAGTGGTGGTGCAGTGGTTAGCGCACTGTGTGTGTGGGTGGGGAGTGGTGGTGCAGTGGTTAGCGCACTGTGTGTGTGTGTGTGGGGAGCGGTGGTGCAGTGGTTAGCGCACTGTGTGTGTGTGAGTGGTGGTGCAGTGGTTAGCACACTGTGTGTGGGGGGGGGGGAGTGGTGGTGCAGTGGTTAGCGCACTGTGTGTGTGACTGGGGAGTGGTGGTGCAGTGGTTAGCGCACTGTGTGTGTGGGGGGAGTGGTGGTGCAGTGGTTAGCACACTGTGTGTAGGGAGTGGTGGTGCAGTGGTTAGCGCACTGTGTGTAGGGAGTGGTGGTGCAGTGGTTAGCGCACTGTGTGTGTGTGAGTGGGGAGTGGTGGTGCAGTGGTTAGCGCACTGTGAGTGGGGAGTGGTGGTGCAGTGGTTAGCGCACTGTGTGTGAGTGGGGAGTGGTGGTGCAGTGGTTAGCGCACTGTGTGTGTGTGGGGAGTGGTGGTGCAGTGGTTAGCGCACTGTGTGTGTGTGTGGGGAGTGGTGGTGCAGTGGTTAGCGCACTGTGTGTGAGTGGGGAGTGGTGGTGCAGTGGTTAGCGCACTGTGTGTGTGTGTGGGGAGTGGTGGTGCAGTGGTTAGCGCACTGTGTGTGTGTGTGGGGAGTGGTGGTGCAGTGGTTAGCGCACTGTGTGTGTGTGTGGGGAGTGGTGGTGCAGTGGTTAGCGCACTGTGTGTGAGTGGGGAGTGGTGGTGCAGTGGTTAGCGCACTGTGTGTGTGTGTGGGGAGTGGTGGTGCAGTGGTTAGCGCACTGTGTGTGTGTGTGGGGAGTGGTGGTGCAGTGGTTAGCGCACTGTGTGTGTGAGTGGGGAGTGGTGGTGCAGTGGTTAGCGCACTGTGTGTGGGGAGTGGTGGTGCAGTGGTTAGCGCACTGTGTGTGTGTGGGGAGTGGTGGTGCAGTGGTTAGCGCACTGTGTCTGTGTGGGGAGTGGTGGTGCAGTGGTTAGCGCACTGTGTGTGTGTGAGTGGGGAGTGGTGGTGCAGTGGTTAGCGCACTGTGTGTATGTGGGGAGTGGTGGTGCAGTGGTTAGCGCACTGTGTGTATGTGGGGAGTGGTGGTGCAGTGGTTAGCGCACTGTGTGTGTGGGGAGTGGTGGTGCAGTGGTTAGCGCACTGTGTGTGGGGAGTGGTGGTGCAGTGGTTAGCGCACTGTGTGTGTGTGTGGGGAGTGGTGGTGCAGTGGTTAGCGCACTGTGTGTGTGTGTGGGGAGTGGTGGTGCAGTGGTTAGCGCACTGTGTGAGTGGGGAGTGGTGGTGCAGTGGTTAGCGCACTGTGTGTGTGTGAGTGGGGAGTGGTGGTGCAGTGGTTAGCGCACTGTGTGTGTGTGACTGGGGAGTGGTGGTGCAGTGGTTAGCGCACTGTGTGTGAGTGGGGAGCGGTGGTGCAGTGGTTAGCGCACTGTGTGTGTGTGGGGAGTGGTGGTGCAGTGGTTAGCGCACTGTGTGGGAGTGGTGGTGCAGTGGTTAGCGCACTGTGTGTGTGAGTGGGGAGTGGTGGTGCAGTGGTTAGCGCACTGTGTGTGTGTGTGGAGTGGTGGTGCAGTGGTTAGCGCACTGTGTGTGAGTGGGGAGTGGTGGTGCAGTGGTTAGCGCACTGTGTGTGTGTGGGGAGTGGTGGTGCAGTGGTTAGCGCACTGTGTGTGTGTGTGGGGAGTGGTGGTGCAGTGGTTAGCGCACTGTGTGTGTGAGTGGGGAGTGGTGGTGCAGTGGTTAGCGCACTGTGTGTGTGTATGGGGAGTGGTGGTGCAGTGGTTAGCGCACTGTGAGTGGGGAGTGGTGGTGCAGTGGTTAGCGCACTGTGTGGGAGTGGTGGTGCAGTGGTTAGCGCACTGTGTGTGTGTGGGGAGTGGTGGTGCAGTGGTTAGCGCACTATGTGAGTGTGTGTGGGGAGTGGTGGTGCAGTGGTTAGCGCACTGTGTGTGTGAGTAGGGAGTGGTGGTGCAGTGGTTAGCGCACTGTGTGTGAGTGGGGAGTGGTGGTGCAGTGGTTAGCGCACTGTGTGTGTGTGGGGAGTGGTGGTGCAGTGGTTAGCGCACTGTGTGTGTGTGGGGAGTGGTGGTGCAGTGGTTAGCGCACTGTGTGGGAGTGGTGGTGCAGTGGTTAGCGCACTGTGTGTGTGTGGGGAGTGGTGGTGCAGTGGTTAGCGCACTGTGTGTGAGTGGGGAGTGGTGGTGCAGTGGTTAGCGCACTGTGTGTGTGAGTGGGGAGTGGTGGTGCAGTGGTTAGCGCACTGTGTGTGTGTGGGGAGTGGTGGTGCAGTGGTTAGCGCACTGTGTGGGAGTGGTGGTGCAGTGGTTAGCGCACTGTGTGTGTGAGTAGGGAGTGGTGGTGCAGTGGTTAGCGCACTGTGTGTGAGTGGGGAGTGGTGGTGCAGTGGTTAGCGCACTGTGTGTGTGTGGGGAGTGGTGGTGCAGTGGTTAGCGCACTGTGTGTGTGTGGGGAGCGGTGGTGCAGTGGTTAGCGCACTGTGTGTGTGTAGGGAGTGGTGGTGCAGTGGTTAGCGCACTGTGTGTGTGTGTGTGTGGGGAGTGGTGGTGCAGTGGTTAGCACACTGTGAGTGGGGAGTAGTGGTGCAGTGGTTAGCGCACTGTGAGTGGGGAGTGGTGGTGCAGTGGTTAGCGCACTGTGTGTGAGTGGGGAGTGGTGGTGCAGTGGTTAGCGCACTGTGTGTGTGGGGAGTGGTGGTGCAGTGGTTAGCGCACTGTGTGTGAGTGGGGAGTGGTGGTGCAGTGGTTAGCGCACTGTGTGTGAGTGGGGAGTGGTGGTGCAGTGGTTAGCGCACTGTGTGTGTGTGTGGGGAGTGGTGGTGCAGTGGTTAGCGCACTGTGTGTGTGAGTGGGGAGTGGTGGTGCAGTGGTTAGCGCACTGTGTGTATGTGGGGAGTGGTGGTGCAGTGGTTAGCGCACTGTGTGTGTGTGTGAGTGGGGAGTGGTGGTGCAGTGGTTAGCGCACTGTGTGTGAGGAGTGGTGGTGCAGTGGTTAGCGCACTGTGTGTGTATGGGGAGCGGTGGTGCAGTGGTTAGCGCACTGTGTGTGTGAGTGTGGGGAGTGGTGGTGCAGTGGTTAGCGCAGTGTGTGGGGAGTGGTGGTGCAGTGGTTAGCGCACTGTGCGTGTGAGTGGTGAGCGGTGGTGCAGTGGTTAGCACTCCCCCCACCTCGCTCCTCCTCCTGCTACGGAACGTCGGACAGAATGGAGAGAATCCAAGCGCAACACAGCTTTTAGATAATTTTTTAATTAGGAAACTTTTCTCTGCGGGAGAGAGAAGGAGGGGAGGGAGGGAGGGGTGATTGAGTGAGTTTGTGAGTGAGTGAGTTTGTGAGTGAGTGAGTTTGTGAGTGAGTGAGTTTGTGAGTGAGTTTGTGAGTTTGTGAGTGAGTTTGTGAGTGAGTGAGTTTGTGAGTGAGAGAGTTTGTGAGTGAGTTTGTGAGTGAGTGAGTTTGTGAGTGAGTTTGTGAGTGAGTGAGTTTGTGAGTGAGTGAGTTTGTGAGTGAGTGAGTGAGTTTGTGAGTGAGTGAGTTTGTGAGTGAGTGAGTTTGTGAGTGAGTGAGAGAGTTTGTGAGTGAGTTTGTGAGTGAGTGAGTTTGTGAGTGAGTTTGTGAGTGAGTGAGTTTGTGAGTGAGTGAGTTTGTGAGTGAGTTTGTGAGTGAGTTTGTGAGTGAGTGAGTTTGTGAGTGAGTGAGTTTGTGAGTGAGTGAGTTTGTGAGTGAGTGAGTTTGTGAGTGAGTGAGTTTGTGAGTGAGTGAGTTTGTGAGTGAGTGAGTGAGTTTGTGAGTGAGTTTGTGAGTGAGTGAGTTTGTGAGTGAGTGAGTTTGTGAGTGAGTGAGTTTGTGAGTGAGTGAGTTTGTGAGTGAGTGAGTGAGTTTGTGAGTGAGTGAGTTTGTGAGTGAGAGAGTTTGTGAGTGAGTGAGTTTGTGAGTGAGTGAGTGAGTTTGTGAGTGAGTTTGTGAGTGAGTGAGTTTGTGAGTGACAGAGTTTGTGAGTGAGTTGTGAGTGAGTTTGTGAGTGAGTTTGTGAGTGTGTGAGTGAGTGAGTTTGTGAGTGAGTGAGTTTGTGAGTGAGAGAGTTTGTGAGTGAGTTGTGAGTGAGTGAGTTTGTGAGTGAGTGAGTGAGTTTGTGAGTGAGTGAGTGAGTTTGTGAGTGAGTTTGTGAGTGAGTGAGTTTGTGAGTGAGTGAGTGAGTTTGTGAGTGAGCGAGTTTGTGAGTGAGAGAGTTTGTGGGTGAGTGAGTTTGTGAGTGAGTTTGTGAGTGAGTGAGTTTGTGAGTGAGTTTGTGAGTGAGTGAGTTTGTGAGTGAGTTTGTGAGTGAGTGCGTTTGTGAGTGAGTGAGTTTGTGAGTGAGTGAGAGAGTTTGAGAGTTTGTGAAGAACCAGTGGCATCTACATCTACAGAACGTGAAGAACCAGTGGCATCTACAGCTGTAGAACGTGAAGAACCAGTGGCATCTACATCTGTAGAACGTGAAGAACCAGTGGCATCTACATCTACAGAACGTGAAGAACCAGTGGCATCTACATATACAGAACGTAAAGAACCAGTGGCATCTACATCTACAGAACGTTAAGAACCAGTGGCATCTACATCTACAGAATGTGAAGAACCAGTGGCATCTACATCTACAGAACGTGAAGAACCAGTGGCATCTACATCTGTAGAACGTGAAGAACCAGTGGCATCTACAGAATGTGAAGAACCAGTGGCATCTAAAGAACGTGAAGAACCAGTGGCATCTACATCTACAGAACGTGAAGAACCAGTGGCATCTACATCTGTAGAACGTGAAGAACCAGTGGCATCTACATCTACAGAACGTGAAGAACCAGTGG